GGTTTCTCTGTGGCTTTGGAGGCTGTCCTGGAACTAGCTCTTGTAGACCAGGCTGGTCTCAAACCTGGGATCTCCCAAGTGCTGGGATTAAAGGCCTGCGCCACCACCACCTGGCTATTATATTATTTTTGAGGGTTTTTTGTTTGCTTGTTTGTTTTGTTTTGTTTTCTGAGAAAAACAGTCATTCTGTAGACCAGGTTGACCTATAAGTCACCATGTAAATCAGTGTAGCCTCAAACTCACAACAGTCCTCCAGTCTCAGCCTTCTGAGGTCTGGGTTTGTAGGTATGAGCCACCATACCCATCTATTCCTTTTTTGAGACAGAGACTCATGTTTTTGGAGACATTGCCTCACTATGTAGTCTAGGCTAGCCCAGAACCCACTGTCCTCCTGACTGGACCTCCTGAGTGCTAGGATGATAGGTGTGCATCACCATGCCCAGCTCTTAAAAAATTCTTAAGCATGGAGGGAGGCAGAAAGCAAGGTGGCAATGTAATATAGCAGTCCTTCTCAAACTTTAATGTGCCTATAAATCATTTAGAAATCTGCTAAATTGCAGATTCAGGTTCTGTGGGTGTGGAGTAGGGCCTAAGATTCTGCATTTCTAACTAGCTCAGGTAATGTCGGTGCTGCTGGGCCATGGAACAACCCATCATCTATAGAACTGAAGCTGCAGGGATCCCTGGGTATTTCAGCATCCCCAAATGGGGTTTCTCTGCAGCTCCTGCATTTTGGCATTGATGAAGGGTATTCTCCTCTTGACCAAAGAAAGCTGGAAGGTGGGTAATTAGTGAGATCCTTCTGGTATCCTTGATCTTTGTAACAACCTAGTATAGGGGCAAGACCATTTTTAATTAGACTAAATTATCTAGTTTGGCTATCCATAGAAATCAAAGCCCCGGCTGATATGTCTCTTTCATTTTGCTAGAGCAAAGATGGCTTGTGTGCTGTGATTTTTAAGATGTTAAACACTGCCTGTGCACATATTTTATAGAGAAATAAACACACAGTCCAATGAGATGGATAGTGTGGTTTTAATATATTATATATTCACTTATTTATGGGGAAAATAAACACACAAGCCAATAAGCTGTGTATTATTACTTTAATATAATGAATTTATTTCATACCTATATATTTTATGAGGGAAAATAAACTAATAAGATACACGATATTATTATAATAACACATCTAATTGTTCTATATTAATTCATTTATGAGAGAAATAAGTGCAATTTAACATGACATAAGATTATTTAATGCATGAGGTGAATTCTATGTTAAGACAGTTTAAGGGATTAAATTCCAGCTGAATAAAATGTGTGTACTTCCCACACCGAGAAACCCGTTGGGGGAAAAAATGCAGTGGGTTTGTCTAGCCCTCCATGTTATCTCCTATGTTGGCTCCTGCTGGTCCGAGAGAAAGGTCTAGGAGGCCTCGGAAATGAACTGCTTAAAAAAAAAAAAAAAAGAAAGAAAGAAAAAGAAAAAAAATAAAAAGGCAGCATCTGCCGGGGAGGTAGGTGTCTGTTTCTGATCCCGAGAAATATTAAACAAACCTGAGGAGGATGGATGGCTTTCCAGGGTCCCTTAAATCTCCTGGTTCCGGAGAACAATCCCAGAGGCAGATGGGCAAGAGCGATCCCTGCTTCGCCTTTACTGAGTTTACAGAGCCGGGAAGGGTGCAGTGGGGGGGCAAGAGGAGGGGAGCCGTGTTGAGATGGAAAATGAAGTTGTTGGTCAAGACAGGTGGGCCTGCGTTTGGAAAACGCTCTGGCACGCTTTCAAAGCCCAGAGCAAAGGATCAAAAGCCACAGTGGGTGAAGCGGTCCCAGGCCCCCAGCCCGCCTCCCCCTCCCACACCACAGGGACTCTTCCTTGTGTCCCCTCTCCTCTCCATCCCCGAGGCTCTTGCTTTCTTTTTCGTAAGTGAAATAAGATAAAACCCCACAATTGGTGGGAGGCTCCCAGACTGTGAAAGATCTGGCCTCAGGAAAGTGGGGGTGGGGACGGCCCGGGAGCCGGACCGAGCATCCCGCAGTCGCTGTCATGGCGGCCACAGTGGCTTCCCTGGCTCTCCTAGCTGCCCGGCCCAGCGCCATTTTGAGCATCTCCCCTGCTTTCTGCTCTCCGGGCCGCTCGCTCGCTCGCCAAGCTAAACCTTCCCGCGTTGTAGGCAGAACACTTCCTGAGCAGCCTCCCGACTTCTGGACAAACTCCTAGGCCCGATTCCAGTCCTAAGCGACCTGCAGCCCAGCAGCACTCGGGCGTAGGCCTCGGCCCAGGCTTGCAGCATCGCATCCTGGCTTCTGCACCTGAAGCCAGAAGGCTAGCAAGTCAGAGGATTCCCTTTAATTCCTTTAACTCCGTGCCGACTCCAGGACTCGAGGCTGACGGCCCCTGAGACATTTTCTTGCTTCTGTCCACCACCCCAAATTTATTTCCAAGCAGGGAGACAGGGAACATCCGAACAGGGCCAAAGGCCGACTGCTGGCCTTGGTGACCAAGCTTCCACTAAACTACCCGTTCATCCTGGTGTCGTGGACAGAGAAGTGACACCAAGCAGGGCCACTTTTGTGCCACCCGGACTTCGCCAGCCTGGGAAAAGGGGCCATGCTACCGCTTGGTCGCCCGAGCCAGACCAACCTCAAGTGAGGCCTGGAAAAGCGAAGACTGGCCATAGGGACTTGGGAAAAAGAGCTGGATCCCAACACAAACACTCGTTTTCGTATTATAAAGACATTTATTTAATCTATGAAAATAATGTACAATAAATACTTTCCCCTTTTCCTATTATTAAACAATTTTAATAAATAATCTACCATCTAAAACTTAAAAAAGAGGAAAATAGGTCCCTCTCGTTCTTTTTAAGAAAACCCTCCCCCACTAGAGTTTAATTATTCCTGAGATTTCGTTGGAAGGTGGAATTTTTCTGTGTGGTTTTAAAAAGTGATAGGGAGTGGATTAAGCGCTAATTCATTAACACCTGATTTTAGCAAAACACATAAATTTGACTAGGGGTGGAGAAGGCTCGATTTTTTTTTTTTTTTCCTCCAACAGCCAAAGAGGACCAGGTGGAAAGGATCGAGGAAAGAAAAAGGTTAGGGAAACTGCAAGTCGATGGCACAGAGCGTGCTGGTGAAGAAGTCTAGCTCTTCCTCGGAAAAGGGGACGGGGCTGTCCAGCGAGCTCTGCAGGCTGGGAGAAAGACCTCCGGACATCTGGAGACAGGAGTCTGCAGCGAAGAAGTTGAGGTCCGGCAGGAAAGGCGAATCCGGCTGCTCAGGACAGGTGTCTTCGGGCAGGGTCTCTGGCTGCAGGCCTCGGGCTCTGAGCATCGTGCAGCCAGGGCTCGGCGCGCCCATACTCTCCAGGGAAGTGGCAGGAGGCGCGGGCGGCGGTGCGCCCTGGGGACCCTGCGCTGCCTCGGCCGGGAGGAAGCAAGCTTCTCGCAGCCGGTGAGAGGCGGAGGCAGGGCCTGGGCTGACTGCGGATTCCTCTGCTGGGTCTCCCGAGTCGTCCGGGGCGCTCGGCCCGCCTGGATCCCCATCCGGAGGTTCCCGATGCTGCGTCTGCCGCTTATGTTTCATGCGTCGGTTTTGGAACCAGACTTTGACCTGCCTTTCGGTGAGGTCCAGCAAGGCGGCGATCTCCACGCGTCGCGGCCGGCACAGATACTTGTTGAAATGGAACTCCTTCTCCAGCTCCAGCAGTTGCGTGTTGGTGTAGGCCGTGCGCAGCCTGCGCGAGCCGCCGCCGCCGCTCTCCGACAATCCCGGGCCATCTGCGAAGAAAGCACCCTGCTCCTCAGAGAGGTCTCAACCCAGCCTGGCTTTAGCTGAGATCAGGAGCACCCCATTCGCTAATAAATGATCAGCACTCCTACTCGGGCTCCCACCCCACCCCCCAAAGTGGTTCCCTCTCTGTGTCTTTGGTTTTGGGGGGGGTGAGATTTCCTTTCTTTCTTTCTTTCTTTCTTTCTTTCTTTCTTTCTTTCTTTCTGTGCTCTCCCACGCAGGAAGACCTGGCGGGGTCAGGTCGGTGCATTCAGAGCCGCCCACGGGCCACCTAGGGGGCGGGGAGCAATTCCTTTTCGCTCCCAGAACCTCAGAGCCTCCCTCCCTCAGTCCTCCCAATGGACCCCTCAATTCGGAACTTTCCACCTCAACCGGGAAAGAGGTATCTTCACCCCTTTCCTTCCTGGCTTTTGAATTTCCCCTGTTCTCCTAGGCATGGGAGAAATAGGAGGATCGCATCTTTTCCTGGCTTCATATTCAATCCCAGGCACAAGGCTTCATTCCTCTACACAGATAATGGGGAAACACTTCAATCGAACCATTTTCTTTTAGCACATAAAAAGCACCCTACCCCCTCCCAGTCAGCTTCCAAAATCTGCTGGGTGGGGGGAGTGGTGTTGGTGCTCGCAGTGGCTAGGCCTGGACCCCAGCGGAATAATCTTCTCTAACCCCAGAATCCATCGACACAGGGAACCCACCAGGCTCCCCACCACCTCACTTTCTTCCCTTCTCTTCCAGCTGCCCCTCACCCCGCCCCCACTACGCTTACCCACCTGAAGGTGATCCGACCCCGGAGACCCGGACCGAGGAAGCTGCTGGAGAAGGAGATGCGGCGGATTGGCTGGGTTTCTTGGCGGATTTCTTCTCTTTCATCCAGGGGAACTCGGGGGCTGGGGGGGCGGCGAGTGGTGGCGGTGGCCGCAAAGCAGGCCCATCTTCGGCTTGCTTTTGGCTCCCGGGTCTCTGAAGGGTGGAGGCGCCGGGCTGGAGGCTGGGGTAGGTTTGCTCCAGAGGAGGAGGAGGAGGAATTAATGTCGACTCCTTGATTGATGAAGTTTGAAATGTCTCCAAGACAGCGGGGAAGGAAGTCAGACACTCGGCGAGCGATGGCTGGCTGTTTATAAACCCAATCTCCCTCTCAAATTCAAAATTCATGGCTTTCAATGGTGGGGGAGGGGGCCTGCTGGGGGGGGCGGCAGGAGGGAGGATGGGAAGGGACCCCCTCTCCCGCCCCCCCCAGGTTTATTCAATGAAGCGATTTCGCGGGGGAGGGGGATTTCTCTCTCTCTTTTTTTTAAATTTAGGCCTTTATAATTGTATATTGCTGATAAATACACGCGTATGGGGACTCTCTCTATTAAACCCAGGACTCCGACGAAATTGCAGGGAATTCATGGTCACGGGACCGGTCTCCGCCAATCGCTCGTCTGGGCCTGGTGGAAAACACAGGCATTATTTGCTTTAATTGATTCAAAAACTCCAGAGGACCACGACCTGGATACCATAAGCCTTCCTCCTGTACCCCCATTCCAATACCAGCGCCCCACACTCTCCCCAATTGCTCCTTTTCCCCCCAAGAAAAGCCAGAAGAACCACTTCCTCCCCTTCAGAAACTGTGTGGTGGTGGGAACCTGCCAAAGGACCACATTTAAGGGAGAAGTGGGCTTCTTGTCTAAAGATTTTAATTGAGTCAATTAATATGCTTTCTTTATGTGGTCATCAGTACCTTCTCACCCTTCCAACCACCCCCCAAAAGAGCAAAAGCTCATTCGGGAGGAAGTGGGAGTAGAAAGAGGTTTCCACTCTTTGGGGGAAAGGTCAATATTAAGGTGAAAAATCAGAACGGAGATTGATGAATGGCAACACTAACCACCACCAGCCCAGTCCCACCCACCCTCTACATGCAGCAGTTCAAACTTAAGAAATGCACAGGCTGGCACGAAGCAGTCAGGTGCCAGGAGCACTTTGGAGCACTGGTCTCCCTCTCCTGTTAGCTGCCCTGGATTCTCTTCTCTGCCCAGTATTTACAGGCAACCCTTTACATCCACCTGCCTTCCTGTTGAGGTCATCTATACTCACACTCTGACACCCCAGCACTGGCCATGGGAGGGTCTAAGAAGGTCTAAGATGGCAGACACATTCATAGTCCTCAGGTTGTATCTATGGCTACATCCAAGGGCAACAAGGTAGCCATCCACATAACTTTCAAAGCTAAAGTCAATACATGGGGGGGGGCGCTTTCCCTCAGGACAAAGGGACTTTCCCTCCCATATTGGCTTTTGTGCAATTGTTTTTAATCCCTGCTTTTAAAAAAGTTCCCTAAAGATGAAGGGACGAGAAATAACGACCAGCACTGAGATTATATTCTGTTTACGGCCCCCAGAGGGGAAAATTTAATGTATTTTATTGTGAGAAGATTATGATAGGCTCAACTTTAGAATGTTGTAATTTACTAGAGGGAGGAGACACAAAACTCAGAGCCACAAGCAATTTGGTGGGAAACTAGGCCTCAAAGCTGAAAATGCAAAGTCGATCTGGGGGAAGATTTTTAAATAAGTGGGTCAGAGGGACCAAGAGGAGATGAGGCGATCAATCTTAACCCCCTGACAGCTCCCTCCGATTGCTTCAAAGAATTTGGCTCTTTGGGAAAGCAGAGGGAACAGCCTAAATTCCACATCCCTTAAAAAGGCCTGAGGGAGGGGGTAGCAAAAGAGAAAGGTGATTCTGGGAGGGCCAGGAAACAGATGGGAAATGGGGACAGAGGGAAGGCGCTAACTTGGGTGGAAAGTTTGCCTCGGAGAACTCCCACGGCTCTGGCCTCCCCTCCCCCTCTTTGCTCTCTGCCGCCCAGCCTAGAGGAGGAGGCTGTTTAGCAGAGAAATGGCAACTCAGCGGAGAGCTGGAACTAGAAACTTTCTGTCAATGTAAAGTCCGCGTGGGTGGTGGTGAGTATTTATAGAAAGGGGGGGGAAAGGAAAGAAAATAAAAAGAGAAGTCTGACTAGAAGGTGGGTGGCGGAGGAGCTGGATGTATCTGGCTGCAAGCACAGAAAGAGGCAGGCTCTTGGGGAACTGCTAATTGGGCCAGAGGGCCAGAGAGGGAAGTGTGTAACTCAGTTTTTAAAAATTAGATGTATACAATATTATATATAGTATATTATATGTATATATATATTCCACTTGGGTGGTGGTTAGCAGGGAGGAATCCAAATAGTAGCGGTGTGCAGGTTGTACAGTGAGGCCTGTGAGGGGCTTTCTCCATGGTGGTGCCCTTGGACACCTCTACAAGTTTTGTAACAAACCAGTTGGCTGCATGCAGTATCCAGGGTTCTTCTAAGGCAATTGGGGCCCAGACTGTCCAGTAGGAAATATAGCTCTCTAACCCTTGATGACAGATTTTATGGCCAGATCAGTGAAAGGCAGAAAATTTGGGTGTTAAAGGGAGGGGACAAGAGAACCCTTAGAGACATCCCTCCTGCACCCTATCTGATAGGAATCTTACAGCACAGATTTTTAGCCACGTTCTTAACAGCTTTAGCTGAGTACCTGGAGTCATGAAGACAGAAGGCTAGCTTCTGTTTTTGTTTATAGCCCTAGCTTCAAGCCAAAGCACTGCTTTTCATCTATCTAGCTAAAGTCTCTCTTATAGATAAATAATTTATCTTATTGATAAATAAATAAACCCACCCCTCCCTTCCTCCACCTCAGAGCCAAACATGACCCTTCATGTAGTTATATCATTCAGAAAAAGTTACTCAGGGAAGACACAAAGGAAAGCAAAGACAGACCCCTGAGCGTTATTTGATCCCAATCAAACTTTGCACGCTCCTCTGCCTTTAATTTATAGCCTGACCCAATGCTAAATTGCTTGCTGCCTGGATGAGCCAAGTCCAGTTAAAAAATCCTACTTGGTGGGGAGGGGGTATAGTATTGAGGTTGTTTTTTTATTGTTATTTATTGTTGCATAAAGACTGTAATTACTAACCTTGGACTGCCAGGATGCAACATAAAAATGAAAATCAGCCCTCGCTTTAAGGCTGAGGGCCTGGAACGATTCTCACCCCCCCCAAATCACCACTACCACCAAATATATGCTCCTAATTAAGCAATGCGGGCGGGCACAACGCGTACAATTAGAATTATGTAACTCTTCAGCAAGCAGCCATCGCTTCTTTCAACGAATTAGCTCCATATTTCAGCCTCCCTGTCTCCTCGCTCTTATCGGATACTGCGATGCGGTGGTGACATTTCATCTTTGACAGACCCTCTCTATCCTCGCTCCAATGTGATAAAACTTTTATGGAACCAGGACTAAGAAATGAAGTTTTCCCAAGGATAGTGGAAACAGAGCCTCACATTAGCCTGGGGACCATTTTATTTACGCTGGGTTTCAACAGCTTCCCTCACTTCCTTCCCGTTTCCCTGGCAAGAGAAATCAAACCAGCCTCCTCAGTTCCTTTGCCCTGGGCTTCATTTAATGATTTAATTTCACTTTAGTTCTAAGGCTTGACTGAGAAGTCTAGGCCTCGGTTTGTTGTTGTTTCCCCCAGATTAATCATTTTCCTTTGTTTTCATTTTAGACCCAATGGTGGTTGGGCTTCGGGTCACGTGACAGCCTCCTTGTAGCTCCGGAAGAGAACCGTGAAGTTTAGGTTGCCTGGAAGAAGCAGTAACAAGCTAGATTTTGGTTTGGTTTGATGTGGGCAGAGGGGTGCATAGAGGTAGTGGTCAAAGGAAGAAAGGCCAAGGACTGAGAGAAACAGGGAGGCAAAGAGGCTAAACAGACAGCCCAAGATTCCCTTCCCTCCCCCAACTTGTTAGTTAAACCTTAGCTGAAGAACTTGGCAGAATGGTCCAGACTGCTATGAATGTCAAAAAACCAAGTTTAAACCAGGAGGAAAGCTTGGGAGGGAGACAGGGGCCTGAGCAGTAGACAAAAGGGTCAGGAAAGTGTCTTCAATGCTCCCCTCTTAGGGGGCATTTGGCAGCTGGAGCCTTTTCTCTGCAATCTGAATTGGACCACCAGGACAAGATAAAATTGATAACAGAAAGTTTATTCAAGAATTGTTTTGACAGACAACCCTTTTAACTAAGGAAAAAAAGTAACTACAGAAGAACAAAGAAAGTTCCAAGAGAGAATTAACTCTAACTCTACAAATTCAGGACTATACAGTGACCATTAGGAGCTGAGTTCATGCCTTTTAGAACTAATTACAATTGCTCATAAGTACGAGTTTAACATAAATCTACAGCTCTTGTCTAGAATACAACAAAAACTAAAATAGCTGGTTTTACATGACAGGAAACAACATCCTTTATAACAAGTAAATACTAAAAAAGTACATTTTTTTCCTTTTTGTTCATCATATAAATACATAATGTAAGGGGGATAAATAATACAAAAAAGAAAATATTTTAACAGGCTATAACCAATAAATATATATGAAAATGTTCACTAGAACACACACTTTTTGAGCGAAGCTGGACTTCTGCAGGCCCAGGCATCTCTCACAGTTGTTTTTTTTTTTTTTTTAATATCCATTAAAATGTAAACTCCAAGTGCAACAAGAGTGCCCTGTCAGGGACTGGAGCAAGGTACACAGGCCCAGCTGCAGCCCCTGCCTCAGACAGACAGTTTGTTCAAATATACCCTGTTTTCACGTTAAGTCAAGAGAGTAACAGAAGAAAAAGGAAAGAGGAGAGCTTCATGTGGATTGCTTTCCATGGAGAGAGAGTAGGATGGGGTGGAAGCTGAGAGGTTGCAGAGTGAGCAAACCTCCAGTCCTGACAACTTGCCTGCCTTAGCCTCTTAACTTTTCCTTAAAAGAAAAATATATATATATATTTCTATTATAGGCGGCTCTGACTTTCAGGATCTCTCACCATCCCTGAGCCCTCTAGAACTTGTAAGCAATAGGAGTGGGGTATGGATATGACCCTAGAGCAAAAAATCATGGGGCTAGAAATGGGGCATGGCTGGAAGCCTCAGACAGATAGGGGCAAATTGAGGCTTCAGGGGGGTGGGAGGGAAACACTTTGTGCCCTTAGATTTAAATGTGTTTTCTTATTTTTCATAAGGAGAATGAAAGGGAACACCAAAAAAACCAAAAATCAAGATCTGGGGGGGAGTTCCACAGAGATGGAAGGTAAGTTGGTTGGTTGATGAAAGCCAAGCCTTAATTTTTAAATGTGCTTCTCTGCCCTGCTTGCCCATCTTGGTTCCCTCTATCTGACTCCCTTTCCAGTCTTGGTCGTGCTGGAGCCCTGGGATTGATGTGGTCACCTCCAGCCTCCTGCGAATTCCTTTCCAAGGGTATGGGCAGGCAGATGGAACCAGTCTTGTAGGGACAGCCCTTCAGGCCAGGGACAGGGGAAGGCGCCCCAGGCCTGCCTTGTTTCCGGAAGCCTGCAACAACCCTAACACACACCTCTTCCAGGCCTCCAAACTTGCCCCCACCACCAGCTCCACCACCTCCTTGGCCCTTGATCTCCACACCCCCACCCTCAACCCTCCCCTCCCCTCACAGGTGTGTCAATTTGGGTGCTTCTTGGATTCTACCCTGAGGCGGTGCGTGGTGAGAGGAGAGGTCTGTGTAGGTGGGGTGAGGCTCACAGGGTCCGTGATGCTGGCTGGGGGCCATAGGGGGCGCCCCGTTGTAGTCCAGGTTCCCCGAGGGGTGGTGAGAAAGGTGATTGAGGCCGTAGAGGGAGGGGCCAGCAGGGGGCGGCAGCGGATCCGCGTAGCCACCCCCGCCCACGTACACCGGACTGCCCTGCATGGTGGGCGTCCCGTAGGCGCCCCCGTTGGCTTGGAGGACGTGGGGCTCATACTCGGGCGCCGGGGTCGGGGGGTACTTCTGTGGGGCGCCGCAACCCTTGAGAGGGGTCTGGTAGTTGGAGGGCAGCGCGTAGGCATTCTGGTGGCCTTTGCCGAAGGCTGGCGGGGACGGGCTGTCATAGCTGGGGGTCATGGAGTGTAAGGCCAGCATGAAGCCGGCCGTGGACTGCATGGGCTGCGGGGGGCTGCCGGCCGGAGAGGGACCCCCGGACGACGAGGCCAGCCCTTTGGCCTTCTGGTCTTTCTTGTATTTCATGCGGCGGTTCTGGAACCAGATCTTGATCTGGCGCTCGCTGAGGTTCAGCAGATTGGCCATCTCCACGCGGCGCGGCCGCGGTCGCCACAGACTCCTCTCCACGCGGCGCCGCCGCGCCGGGGGGCCTCCCCCCTGCCGCCGCTGCCGCCGCTGCCGCCGCCACCACAACCCCCTGCTGCCCCCGAGGGGGAGGGGTGGGAAGGGAAGAAAATGAAATAAAAGATAATTACTGAACACGCCGAAATTGAATGCATCGTTTCTTAATAAATCCAGGTCTGGACTCCGGAGCCACCGCCACCCTCCCCCTTCGCGTCCCCGCCTCCTCCTCAACACCCCCCTCCCACCTCCCGTCGCATTAGCGGACACTCTATAATAGTGGCATTTATTAAGAGACCTGTTCTCCTCTCACTGCCCTAGCTTATGAAAATTTGATCATGTCACGCAGACAGAGCTGCGTGGCCATTTATTTAGGGTTAGATTTTTGCTTGTGCGCGCACCCCTCCTCGTATATCCAAATCCAAGTTTGAGATGATCCCCTCCTTCTGTCTGTCCTCTTTGCAAGATGGGTGACTGAGAACACCTTGGGGGGTGGGGGGGACTGGACACTGGTGGGCAGGGCCTGGAAGTGTGGCACTAGAGACTGTGGTGGCTGAAGGCCAGGACCCCAGGCCGCCTGAGCGATGGTGATTAATACCCACAGTAATCATACTTAATAATAATCTATCCTTGATGATTCTGTGCCCTCCAGGCGATGCGGCCTTGGGAAGGGCTCTGATGCCAACCGTCCCACCTCCTGGAAATTCTTGGAAACCCAGGTGGAGGTCGGCTGGAGGGACTGGGTGTTGGCAGGGTCAGAGGTCATCAGGTGGGGAGAGGTACCGAAAAAGGAGAAAAGCAAAAAACACCAGGCAGCCACATAATCTTGTTCCCAGGCGCCTTGTGGGCGCCTACGTGTCGGATGCTAGAATAACAGTGACATTCCTCGACTGGACAAAAGCTGACGATGAAGGCAGAGAGCTGGTACCTGTGCCGGGGGAGCTGGTTTTCAGCTTGGACGTTTGCCTTGACTCTTTCATCCAGGGGAATATCTGTTTGGTGAGGGTAGAGTTGGAGCCGGGACCGCACTTGGGGGGGCCACTTTTGCTGGGTCCGCCCCCATTATTGCTGTTGCTAGTGGTACTGGTAGGTGCGGCGCTGGGTGGGGGTGAGCCCGGTGGGGCGGGCAGGGGCTCTGGGGCCAGGCCGGGCCTCATGCAGCTGCCGTTGAGCTCCTTGCTCTTGGCATGTGGAGCGGCATTGCCCAGGGACTGCAAGGAACACGCTGAGCGCTGGTAGTCACCCTCCAGGTGCGTAGCGGCCTGAAAGGGGGGCTGGGGAGGCCCGTCGTAGCCGAAACCATTGCTGCCAGGGTACGAGGAGTAGCCTCCGAAGAGCGCAGCTGCGGTGTTGTCGTAGTAGGTGGCTTTCTGCATCGCTGGGCGAGGCCCGGGCAGTGGGTGGCAACTTGCAAGGGCCTGATACCCTCACGACCGGACATTGGCACCCCTGGGGGTCACGTGATACGCCGGACCCCCCTCCCCTTTCTGCCCCCCTCCTCCCGGGTCTGTTCCAAGCGGCTGACCTGTGGGGCGAGAGAAGAGACACAGGGGGAGAAGAGGACTGGGCCTCGAATCCATCTTAGGAACTAAAAAGGGAACTGACATCAATAGTTTTGGTTTTGGGGTTTTTTTTGTTTTGTTTTGTTTTGTTTTTTTGTTTCTCTCCTCGCCAGTCTTTCTGCAGCAGACGCTGGGACCAAGTATCTGACCTTACATGGATGATTCTTGCTTCAACTTTAATTTTAAAGGAAACAAAACAAAACACGGATTTTCATTTCGATTTAAAAAAGAAACCAGGATGGAACTCCTTTAGGAAATGCTTAGAAATAGAATGGTGTTGCATCGTGGACCTTCTCTCCTGCTTGTGCACCAGCCCCTGGCCTTTCCTACAATTTTTGCTAACCTCCCCCCAACTCTGGGATAGGGCAATTCCAGGGAGGGAGCACTATTAGACTCCAAAATAAAAGCATCTTGGAGATTCCTTGGTCCAATGTAGAGAGACCTCTCTGCCTCCCCTCCCTACTCCCTCCAGATCCTTCCACCCAAGCACAGTCTAGCCTGGAAGGAACTTGCAGATCTTGGACCCAAGCCAGACTGAAAAGCAAGTTCATCTGGGACCCTTCCCTCCAGGAAGATCACAACCGCCTAAAGTAGAAAATTCCTGAAGATTTTTAACTCCCAGAGCCAGTGGAACCAAGCTCCATCCATCTATGTCCCATCTGCAGGGACCATCACCTCCAGTCTTGGCTCAGGCAAGCCTGGGACCTAGCAGCTAGGGGCCCCTGTGGAGCCTCCAAATGGACCGTGGTTGTTTAGATTTCCCAGGCAAGACCGGTTGGTGCTATGACCATTTGGCTTGGGTCTCCCCCATCCTTTCCATAATAGTCTCTTTTCTTTTCTTTCTCAGGAAAAAAAAGTAAAAAGAAAAAAAAGATTGTGCAACTGCTGGAATTTTCTACTGAGGTGGGGGAGATTATTCAGGATGAAAAAGACTCACAAAAGAATTTGAACACGATTCTTCTCTGGGTTTGAAACGGGGGCTGTTTACTGAGGTTCCCAACAGCAAAATAAAATAAAGTAAAGTAAAATTGCAGTCACTATTTTACTACAGCCCTTAAAAGTGCACCAGAAAAAATAAAGCTTAACCATATCAGGGAAGTTTGTATTTGTTCCCAGATTTCTGACTGTGTCTCCCCTTTCCCTGTGTCTCCTCCAGCCCTCCGTGGGTGGGTACTTCCCTGTAACCTCCAGACTGATCATGTGCTTTTGGAAAATCTTAAAATATCATTCAGCCCAGATGGTCAAATCCAAAGAAAACTTAGTAAAAAGAAAACGGAAGGAATGCAAGTGGCGTGAGTCCCTCCCTCACATAAATGCTGCTTTTAATGATAGATTCATACTTAAAAGGGAGCTGGTGTAGCCCTGAGATCCGATTGGTTTCCGAGAAATTTTTGTTTCTGGAAATACACATGGGTCTGCTAAGCAGCGGGTCCTTCTAGGGAGGACTGGAGTTCAATTGACCAGGCTGACCCAATCCCTTTATTATTATTACCATTCGCCTGTGATGATTTAACCAAAATTAGCTTCGGAGCAGCCCTGGCTGAAAGGAAGAATTAATTAAGCGGCATCAGTCGAGTTTGTTATTAATAGTAGAAAAGAGAATGAAATAAAAACGTTGGAGGGGGTTAGCTGGCTGGGCCCTGGCTTTATTTAGTCTAAATGATTGTTACAGCAATAATGATGATGGTTGTGGTAATAATAATAATAATAAATAAAAAACCTAGTAATTTGACTAGACGCCTGGGGCTGAAATTTCTGTCGCTCCCCCAGCAATAAGCCCCAAACCATCGCAGGACAGAGGCCAGGCGAGTGTGGGAAGCGAAGGAGCCAGAGACGTGATAGGAAAGAATGGAGACTCCGCTGGCGGTTGAGACAGGGCCAGGAGGGTTTGTGGATTCGGAGAGCCTCCAGCTGCCGCTGCTGGCCGGCTGTCTGGCCGCTGCTACCCCGGTGGCTGGAGAGAAGCTACCAGCCTCCTGCTCAGGCTCAAGGAAGAGAGAAGAAACCGATCGGGACGCCGAACTGGTTAGCTGCGGCAGGTTCCAAGCACACCGGGCCGGGCCCGGCCGAGCCCCGCGGCGGCAAGTTTAGCGCTGGAGGTAACCGAATTAAAAGGCGCCTTAGCAACTCTGCTCCGGGACTTTGCCCAACAAGGCTCCAGGCTGGAAGGCGCAGAGGCCTGACTGATGGGACAGTAAGGGAAGGGACTGTGCCGCGGGGATCTGAGAGCTGGGATCCAGAAGGGGGTGGGGAACAGCTCTACCCAGCCAAACATGTCTATTTCCCTTGCCTCCATGTTGGAAAAATTCAGGCTCCATATGGCTCCTCGGAAGGGTGGGAGGGAGATAGTGGTTCCCGGCTTCCCTTCAGGGTCTCGCTAGAGAAGGAAGGCAATCCCTCCCTCCAGAACCCCACCTTTCCAGGCACACTCCTGGGAGATCCAGGAAGGGTAACAATAGCTGAGAAACCCCAGGAGAGAGGATAGGCCACCTTCCAGGACTTTAAAAAATAATAATGAAAGGAAGACAAATAAAATAATAAGAACGGGAAAGAAAAAGATTCGGCTTTTCTTAGCAAACGGGGGGGAGAGGGGATTCAGCCCTAGAGCTGGCTGCAGGAAAAAAAAAGAGAGCGGAAAAGGAGAGAAGAAGCAGAGAGGGAGAGAGAGGGAGAGAGAGAGAAAGGGAGGGAGGGAGGGAGGAGAGAAGGAGAGAGAGAGAGAGAGAGAGAGAGAGAGAGAGAGAGAGAGAGAGAGAGTCAGTCGCTGCGTGGAAGGAAGCTTAAAGCTTGTGAACTCTTCTTGAACCGAGATTGGAGTCATATGGGCCATAAATCATTGAGACATACTCTCCGCCATTCACAAACTGATAGCCTATTTCAGTCCAGCTTACCTTAGCCACCGACGAGGGGAGAACAGGCAGACATAATATATATTCACATCGAGCCTCAGCGCGAGCGGCAGGCGAGAAATCTCCCCTCCTTGAAGGCAAAGGAAAAAAAGACCACTGTTTAAAGCTGCGTCGCCCCCCCCTCCCCAAAGCCACCCCGGCTGGGGAGCCCGAGGGGCAGACCGGCCAGAAGAGCCGAGGCGTCCGCTTCAATTCACTCGGCTTTGGAGCGGGGGTGCGAAGAGGGAGGGGTAGGGGAGCAGGGAAAAAATAGCAGACTGAAAGGTGCTGGGAGGCTCGGCTCGCCGAGAATCCAGCTCCGGGCTCCAGCTCGCCCAAGCCGCCACAGTGTGGTTGCCCTATAAGACTGGTACGCCCTACTCTCCGTAACAATGGCCTCTGCTTTTGCACAGGGAAAAAAACCACACAGACACAGACACACACACACACACACAAGCTCACCCCCCCCCCTCTCCCCCTTTAGCAAGCATAGATGCCTGATAAGGAGGGAAGGTGTTGTAGTGATGAGCGCGGGGGGGGGGGGGGGGGGGGAGCGCGAGTACCCCTCCCCCAAATAAGAGTGCAAAGCAAAGAAAGTAGAGGGTGGTCTTGTCTCGTTTTGTTTTACAAGCAGGTAAAATTTTTACATTGAGATGGGAGAAGAGAAGAAAATGCAAAGAGAGCTGGTGGAGTTCGCAGATTGCCCCCCATCCCCACCCCCCACCCCGCTTTAAGGCGACACTACTGGACCATTATGCTAATCTGAGAAGCGGTCTTCGGAGACCCAGTCAGAGGCTAGCCTGGCTGGGCCAGGGGCGCTGGGTGCCCCTCCTGTGCTCCTTCACGATAGGCACAGAGATTTTTTTTTTTTTTTTTTTTTAAGTAGTCTGCTGGCTGAGTCTCAGGCCCTCTTACTGAACCTCCCAGTCCCTGAGCCTTCTCTCCTCTATATTCCTCCTCCCCACCCCCAAATCTCCAGTCCCAGTCTCTGATGGGGGAGGGGGCAAGGCCAGACTTTTTCACACACCCCCTTTTTTTTGAGAACAGACAACTAGCGGTGAGTGATGATTAAAAAACCCAGAACATCTTGCAGAGGGAGTAGGGTTGAAGGGAGGGTGACAAAAGGAAAGACCCTGTGGTTTAGCTTGAGCTCCAGACAGCCGGCCAGGAGAAGGGCTCTGAGAACTTCACTGAGTAATTTCTGTTATGATTTGCACTTTGGGACAGTCAGAAGGGACTGGGGGGGGGGGTGAGAAGGACATTTGTACTCCTGAGAAGATGAGAAGAACTCCAGGATGGCTTCGTTTTAAATGCACTAGCAGACAGGATGGAAGATGATGAGTATTGGAGCAAACCTGCTTGTTTCTCCACTATGACTACTACGCTCTGCATGGCAAGATTTATGACTCTTGGCACAAATAAAGAAGGCTACAAAGGCTAAAAGTTTTCTTAGGGTGTGTTTGAGCAGGGCAGGCAAAGGCAAGGAGGAGGCCTGTAGGAGGAAGACAGGAGCCAAGAATGTAGGTGTCTGCAAATTTGGAGAAGGGGGTGGGGAAAGAGCCATTGGCGGTAGAGGCAAAAGACAAAAAAAAAAAAAAAAAAAAAAAAAAAAAAAAAAAAAAAGCACAGGCCATTTCTTCAAGCCGGAGTGCTTGCATACTGCCTAACTGCTGACTCTCAGGACTTGGGGGATGACACAGAAGGCTGCCAGTGTCTCTTCTCTACGTGGACAGACAGCTTGGAGATTGGTTCTCTTAACTTCGGGTAGACATATCCAGCCAGGACTCTGTGCAGATATCCTGGTTGGGACACTCTGTCTTTGCCTTCTCCCATCTGGATACACCAGGACAGGCGATGGGACTGGGGAAACAAAGGTGAGAGATCTCCAGCTATTGTCTCCCCTCCCAGAGAGGATGGCTTGGTCTGGCTCTAGCGGTAGCTCTCTTCTTTAGGGGTGAAAAGGGGGTATCTCCTGGATTACAGCCTCCCCCCAAACACACAGTTTCTAAAGCCATCGAATCACTTCAAATCATCGGCTGGAGTGACTGACTTTTTGGGGCCTGTTACACAGAAGGAACCTGTGGCCTCCAGCAACAGGAGTCATGTGCAGAACCCTAGGTATGGTACCTGGGATCCTACTATCTGCCCAGAGTTGGTGGTTGCTTGGAGATTTGGTGGCTGAATTTAGGTGGGAGTTGAGGAGTTAAGTAGAGAAGGTGAGAGCCAATTTTCTGTGTTTATTAATAGTCTCGAGAAAAAAAAATGTTCAAGTGTTGGGGCTCAAGCCAGGACCCTCCTGAGGAACTGTTCCCATACCCAACAACTTTGGAAAGAGAGCTACAGGGTGAGATGCCAAAGAATTTTAGGCCTGGTGAGTCAGCAACTCGGGCCAAGGGAGCTTCCAGAGGCTTCAGGGAACTTAGAACACTGACTCTTTTCTCTAGTTCCCTAAAATAAAAAGGTTTTAAAATGTACTGCAGACTCTGCAGCTCATCTAAAAGTTCCCACCACTTGCTAGGGACAGTTATTATGAAACTGAGAAAAGTACCTGGTTATCTTCGAGACTGCACAACTTTGCCTAAAAGAATAGCCTACAGTCACCTAGCCACTGCGGGGATGGGGGGAGCTGCTGCAGAGGCCAGGATTGCTCTGGGAGGTGGAAGGTGTTCCAGAGTGAGCAAAGGACTCTCTCTTCCCAAGCCTTCTCCATCCCTTGTGGGTGAAGAAGGGCATCCAGGACTGGGAGTAAAAAGGAGGACTGGGGAGCCAGGAAAGCAGCAGGAAGAAAATTCCAGAAGCTATGCACCCACAAGTAGGATAGGAGTTGAATCTAAGATTTCCTGGTCAATTCTTAAAAACAGCACCCACTTGAAATACTTGGGAGACAGTTAGATGCTCCTTTGGTTTCTTACTTGCCTTTTTTTTTTTTTTTTTTCTGGACCACAGGGAGCTGCCCCATAAGGCTGGGAGGTGGCAGGGTACAGAGAACCAAACTGGCAGCTGTGAAAGGGCTTGTTTTAGTCAGAGAGGAGGTGATGGGTTAGGAGTCTTTTCGAATTTAAGAGACAAAGGCAGGGTAAGGAGCTTAGTGGAGAGGACCCCAGATGGGCCGGAGGCTAGTGGTCTTTGAGGTCAGACAGAAGACAGGTAGGATAAACGGCCTGATTTAGGGGTATAGACAAACAATTTTCTTGGAGTCAGAGAACTTGGTAACTTTGTGGGAGGGGACAAGAGAAAGAGAAAAGAGGAAAAGTGAAAAAATTAAGAGACAAAGTGAACTAATAAAGGCAATAATAATAAGTGTAAAAAAAAAAAAAAAGCCTGGGAGAAAGCATCCTCCTTCACAGACATCTTTTCTGTCTCCCATAGAGACAGAATGAGAGTTCTGCTACTCTCTTCCCCGACTTCTACTAGGTACTGAGTAATGGAAGAGCGGGAGCACTGTACGCAACTTCTGAGAGTCCACCTAAGAGCAAACGAAAATTATCTCAGTAAGGGCAAACAGGGCTGGTTCCTTTAAAACCAGTTTCTGTTCTCAGTGTTCTGGTGACCAAGGATCCTTGTCTCAGCTTCTACTGCAGGAAACTTCTCTGGAGCTGCTGGAGCTGCTCCCGGCATTTAGGAATGTGTTTCTTGTTCACTATTGCCTGGGCTCCCTGTCCCATGCGCTTTTCTAGCGTGGCCATGCCAACTTTGTGGCAGCCACCGAGTTCTGTACAGTTCATGCTCATCTCCATCTCCTCTTAAATATTAGTGAAGATTTTAAAGCTTAAAGGTTTGTAAAAGGAGGGTTTTGTTGATGAAGATGAGTTTGTAGACTAGATGTTTGTCTCCCTAGTCCCTGGCTCTCTAAAAATGCTTGAGTGGGAAGGAACAAAGATACATAGGAAGAGGATCTGAGTGCTGAAGATAACTCCAGGAGGGAGGAGAGAAGGCTGGGCCCAATGAGAGAAGAAAAGAAAAAGAAAAGAAAATCCAGGCTGTACCACCTCACCCCTGCCTCAGGGCAAGAGGGGTAAGGCAGAAAAGTGCAGAGCAAGTACAAGGATCTATGAAGTCTACTGGGTGCCTGTGGAAGCCCCCTGAACCTAGTAATGATGGGACCACAATCCTGGAGTGACGTCAGCAGTAGGCAGGATCTTTGGTAATGAAAAATCTGTTTCTGAATCGGGGACATCTAGAAGCTCAGCCCTGGCAAACCTCACCCCTATCCAGTGTGGAGACAAAGGTAGGCAGGGTGGAGAGGCAGAGGGGAGAAGGGGAGAGACTTGGACTGCTGGGGGAGGGTGCTGGGGGCGGGGTGGGGGGATGGTGGCAAAACTGGCTGAAGGGCTCAGTCCACTTCGTGTGGCCATGTGGCCGTGTGGCTGGCAAGCAGGGTCTTTCCTGACAGATTGGATGTCTCTCTCCCAATGACCTCTGTTTAGCAGACAATAACTCATTGGATTAATGGCCAATCAGTGGAAGGCCTCCAAACGTAAAAAAACGCCAAAGTCAGAATGGGACAGGGCCAGAGTCTGGGTCTGGGGGTCTTTTTTTTTTTTTTAACTTTCTCTCTTAAAATAGGTTTGCAGAAGTAGATTACCTGACCAGAGCCTGAGATTTCTAAACATGAAGTTGTTGCCTAGCTGTCTCCAAATCCTGCCTTGGAGTCCATATCCCAAGCCACACTTCCCTAGATACCCAGAACTCTCCTCAATCCTTCCACCCTCCTTGTAGCCTCGATCCCACACAGCTGTGCGTCTAAGAAGCCTCTGCTTTCAAGTTTTATGTCTCTGAAGTTGGAAGAAGAGAAAGAAAACACAGTAAAAACAAAGTAGGGAGCTTCCTCTTGCTGGTCTCTGTCCTAGTCACCCTGGAAGGACAGTCAGCATGGTGCTATGGCCAACTATGTGTGCCCTCTCCAAGATACAGAAGGTCTAAACATCCATAGGTCAAGGGTGAATCTATGGGGAAGCTGCACCTGTTTTCATAGATTCTAAACTATAAGCCCTTGATTCACATCTTGGGCTAGGATAAGAGAAGGAACCCCAAGACTCCAAAAGGCTGAATCCTGGACAACTGCAACCTTTGCTTATCATCTAACAGGAA